TAAACAGTGCAATGTTGTAACCTTCTTTTGAGGCTTCTATAATTTAGCAAAAGCTATTCTGATTAAGTAAAAAACATGAAATAAATTTTTGTTCAAACTACCAGCCTTCACTTCTTCATAAGGTAAACTTATTGCCTGGCATAATTCCATTTTTAGTGAGAATGAGCCATCAAAATTTTGATTGTCAATAACAGCAATCATTTCTTCCCCGCCAGATGATAAACCCGGTGAGGATGCTGCTTTGCGTGGGCTTTGATTTTATAGAGTAAATGGAAACGTGTGGTTTCGGGGAGCAATTAATTAGTGTCACGTGGCTTCAAAAAAAGCCTATCAAGGCTTTAATAACTCACTGGCTAGTAGGTTATTTGCATACCTGCTTTGTCCCGATATTGAACCAGTAGCACGAGATGAAGTAGCGCTTCGATGTTGGTCGTGCGGTATCGACGCACATTGTCTAAATTTGCTTAGAACGCTCCTCAGCTCGGAAGAACGCACACGTTCATCATTATCCGTACACGAGGACGCAAATCTCCCGGAACCACGACGAGGATACGATGGAACGTGTGCTGTAGAAAGTTGAGAAGGAATTTGTCGGCGTTGTATGGATCCAAAATATAATTCTGTTAGATTTTCATCCACAGCAATGTACGAAGTGTGTCTTGAAGTTATTCCTGAATAAAAGGAAATGAATTTAGGATTAGTTAGGTGAATTTAATGTGTACGAACTAAAGTAGTATGTGAAAATGGAGGTTAGAAGTTAATCTAACAAAAAGTTCAGGCATTATTAACAAAATATCGCATAGTTAACAAATATTCCGTTTTAGGAACAGTAGATCTGACGAATCCGTTGTATCGGAAGGTTTCTTGGAAGCTAAATTTCTTACAACAACAACATTTAGTTATGAGATACACGCAGAATTGGAAAACTTTGGTTTTATATGTATGATTGAACAATACGTTAAAAACCATTAATACATTCTGTATTTTGATCGTGGAAAAACTAATAAAATGGGAAAATGCAAAATGCAATTATTTTTTAAAATGCAGCAAATTCGAAAAGTGTAGTCCAAATTCAAGTCAGTGGCCAAATTCTGGTCCAAAATTACGTCAAATGGGATTTAACGGAATTTAGACGATTATGAGACAAAAATCAAAATTCCCCAAATTTGCAAAAAAAAACTCGCACATTTTGGCGTCTAGCGCAAAAACTATCAATCCACGCCTGCAATATTGTTTCGGGTTCTGTACGTACTCAAAATTAGGCAGATTTTAAGCCATCATACATCAAAATCGTCGGACCTCGAAAAAATGCTATTTCACTGCGTATGTATTTATGTCTGTACTAATAAGTAAAATTTAGTTACGTATGCATGAATAAATGAAGGGTTCATTAATAATTTAAATTTCTAATACCGTGCTCTACTCCGAGGGAAATAATTTCGCCTTTGACGCCATCGCTCATGCCACGCGTCGAGGCTTCTTTCATTTCTAATTCACGAATTAGTTTTACAACTGCCAGTTTGTGAAGCATTTTTGTGTTTCCAAGCATATTCGCGTCACTCATCTAACAAAACACAAATACATGAATTGAGTTTTTATTAGATTAATGAAGTCTTAAAATTCTAACCGTAATATTCAAAGTCAAAGGTCCATCAGGGGAGTTAGCAGTTATCCTAACTTCACTCGGTTTGTCAACCCCAGAAGACAACCCCAGAAGTCAACCCCGTTTGACTTTCGACATCTGGCTCATTCTTTGTATTACAATTTTAAATTGATTGTAAAATTATCCGATTTTGTAACGTGAAATATAGCACGATTTGGTAGCTTACATACGTGATAAGGTTATTTTTTAATGCGGTGATAACAAGAACAGTTTTGAAAACATGTGGTTAGTGTTTTGTAATAGGGTATGGTCAAGAAAGAAAGAAAATTTTTGAAAATGCCGGTAGAACCAGCAATAATTTAATTAATTCTAAATAATTTTCACAAATTATAAGTTAAGGATTAACCTATTTATTTTTGCTTCGAAAGGTCCATAGACCCCCATCCCTCCTATCTGGCGAATTTTTTGTCGCGCGGTCCCCATAAGTGCTCTGCCACTCTTTTCTGCTACCTTTTTTGAGATATGTGTCCATATCTGTCGGAATCCTCTCAAATTTTTGGCTGGTTTTGTTCGTCTACTATATTCTTTCTTGCATAAACCCCAAAATATGTCAACCGGTCCTACGTGGGTGGAATGTCGGGGGATTGTTCTATTGTCCTATCTCAATTGCATGTTAAATCGTTTAACAAGCCTATCGTTGCCAAGTGGAATATTGGAATTGGGTTTGCATTTAAATGAATTTTGACCTGTTTTCTTATTAGTCCATGAGTAGTACTTTATTCCAGGTACTTCATTTGGATCAATCGGACAGTAGGTTTCGTCATCCATGACCAGAATGACGGGCGTGTTTTGCGCGAGTCTTTCTTCAGCAATCTTCCGGCAATTGGTCTTGGCCTTTTTTCTTGACCTTGGTTGTATTTTGGAGCAGATATCGCCTTATAAGATTTGATTCCCAACTTCTTGGCTTGATGTCATGCAAAATTGATTTAGCAATTTTTAATTTCTTACTCAAATTTCGCTCAGATACTCCAGGGTCTCTTTTGAATTCCTTCTGAACTCTGCGTATCACTTTGGGGGTCACCACATGAGTTGGGTGGCCATTTGATTTTTATTTTTTGCACTCCCCCCTTCCTCGTACATATCTCAATTTGAGATTCTCAAATTCGGCAAATTGACCCCGGACAAAGTTTTTCACTTTTGAAGTGGTCAGAAATCTTTTTCCGCACGCTCCCGCACACATTTTCGTAGTAGTGGCAAATTTTTTTGCGACATGCTGTGAGTTTTTTGCTCTCATTTTCAAACGGTTTGAGATATCGACTTTTTGTTTTCTGATATATGTTGCCAATCGCATGGGCTATAAAACTACCGAATTGTAACTTTGTAGTTTTTCTGTAGTTTTTTTTGCATGTAAATAAATTCATTTTCAAAAATTTTCTTTCTTTCTTGACCATACCCTAAATGTTACGAATTACATTTCACGAATTTTGTCACGTTCGGTATCACGTTATATATATTGCATTCGTATAAATATCGACTTCTGGCGTATGGCTTTTGGTGTATCTTTTGGACTTGAGTTAACTTTAAAATTAGAAGATATACAAACCACGAGTAAATTGCGGATAATAAATAGTTAGAATTTAGCACACTGTAAAAATTGTAGTAAACATTCCAGTAAGTAACTAAATATAAATTATTATGATCGTACACAACTTATTGGTCATTTTACTAACATTTGATTCATAATTGTGATAATCTTCATGATAAATAAATTCTCAAGGATGCCATCATCTTAACAGGGTTCGGAAAAACCCAGGGTTTTAACAAAAAATTATAAAACCCATGGGTTTTAATTTGGTTTTACCATGCTAAGTGGGTTTTATTTGGGTTTTAATGGGTTATATTGGGTTTTATTAGGTTTTAGGTAATAACTTAACAAAAATAAATCGCCATTGCAAATTCAATTCCAATCATGTACAAATTTCCTTTGTCCATATTGAAGTTTGTATCGGTTCCGGAATTCTATTTTTTTATAACATTTGAAATCTTTGATGCTAAAGGATGGAGCCAATTGTTGATTAGTTCCGAATTTTCATATATTGTAGTAGTAATAAAGTATGCATGCACGCATAGACTAATAAAGTAATATATTATATTACTTATATTATATAATATAATATAATTTATATTATATTATATTATTAGTCTATGGCATGCACGTAGCGCAAAAATTCCGAGAATGCATCACAAACTAAAAGAACTAATTCACCGAGTCATATTTTAATAATGTCCAAATATGAATTAATTAAGGATAAAATAATTATCTTTAATTAACCGTTTTCGCAATATGTCGACAACACCGAAAAACCTGTTTTGCCCAAATTTCATTGAAATCGTTCACAAAATGGCAAAATACGGCCATGGCGACGTTATTCGTCATGATGTCGACAAAGTGGTCACACCCCACTCATTGGGTGGCACCCCGTAGCCCTAATGAACGTTTGTTAAAAATTTCAGGTCGCTACGACAAACCGTTGTCGAGCTATAGTGTTGACAGACGGACGGACCAGAGTAAGCAAAAAGGCGCCTTTTTGGGAAAAAAAGTCATGCCTTTTTGCCGCTTTGCCTTTTTCAATGCCCAATTGCCTTTTTGCGTGCCTTTTTGCCCGTTTGATGCCTTTTTGCCTTTTTCCGTAAGTTTCTATGGGGCATTGCCTGAACAAGTTTGCTATGTATTAGAAACAATGTTAGCATTGTTAATTGGTAACACTTAACAACGTAAGATACCAGTCATACCTGTTCAAATTCATTTATTTAATGGGGAAGATCCATTTATTCGTTCGGAATGAGTAAATTAAATATTTAGTTCATGAAAAGTGAGGGAATAATTTTTGTACATAATTTAACCTAAGATAGTTTGCTGTGAAGAATGCTGTGAAGCAGGTTGTGCATTTATTTATTTGTACATGTCGCGTATTCCTGGTCCAGACCGGTTTTATCGGTAGGAAGGTAGATGATATCAGACGCCAGTATATTTCCATGAGATGAAAGGCATGTAAGAATTTTGGTTCAGAAGGAGAGCAAACTTTGTGCAGCAGACTGGAGTAAATATTTCTTACTGGGAAACCAAAGTAATTTTGTGAAAATGTTGCTACGTGTGGGGTCTCTAGTGTTCTTCATACTCTAAGAAATTCCTGCCGAGGGAATAAACGAAGACTTGATAATAACTTGGGACCAGAAAATAAAGTTGGACGAGGTAAGAAAAGTTAGATAAAAAATAGGCTTTATAAATAAATTGGGTTAAAAGCTGTTTTTCAAAAATTCGAGGGCGCTTAAAAATAGTGACAAGAAATGTGTAATTTCTGGTAGGAATTAGATAAATATTGAAGGTTTGCGAATCTTGGGCCAAGACGTTTTATTGCTTAATTTAGATTATTGTGATAGTATAAGATATTATAAGAATAAATCACTAAGGTAGACTTGCTAAAACGGACCTTAAACAACTTTTGTCGACCAGAAACTGAAAATTTTACCATATCAATTTTTGACATTTTCAGGGGCATTATTTCAAAAACGGCTACAGATTTCATAATGCTACCAATTTGAGAAATGATGGTACTTACATAGGGTTACTAATAAACCTCATACCGATCTATCATCATTCAAACCCGCTTCACAAAAAAATCCGGTGTCACAAAAATCATTATTTTTTACGTTTTTTACAAATATTTCGCTTACTAGGCTTAAATCTCACCGTAGGTTTTGGCTCGTGTAATTTTTATTTTGAAGAGCAACTATACCGATACAATATACTAAAAATTTGGAGATGGTTATTTGTCAGTTTTCGAGATAAAGAATTAAATATGTGAAAATATAACCACACATGAGAACTTGATAATTTTGCATTTATTATTGACTAAAAGGTATACATGAACGCCGGATTTGCGATCTTTCCATTCCGTAAAATGGATCGGATATGAACTTCATCCCGCGTCCAATGTTAACCCAGTGGACACGTGATTTTGGCGGGTATAAAATCTGTCCCTCAGAGATACGTATGTATGTACATGACGATGTATTACACAGTCATCATAAAATTGTAAGACAGACGGAACATAATCAATTTCTTCACAGATAGATATAAATTTATTAGCAGCTTTTTTTTATCTACTTCTTCAAAAGGATTGTCGTGAAATAAATCAACAAATTACTTCCAAACTTTAAATTAGGGTACCCCATTTCTATCTTACAAGGGACACTCACGAGGTGTCGTTCGTGTCCAGTGTACCTACTTTGTTTTTTAGAATCCACTATGACCTTCAATGAAGGATCCATTCATATTTCGTGTAAAACTCATATTTGGCGCCGTGGCGTGGCTCCAAACTTAAAAACCTGCGTGTTCGCTCATTTTCAAGCCTCCATAACTTTTGCAGTTTCCGTAGGATTTTCAAAATTTTGGGTTTGAAGTGATCACAAAGGTGAAAATTTTAAGAAACAAATAAAAATTTAAGATTTTAATTCTTGAGATATTTTTACGATTTTTTCGACAAATCTCCATGTCTTTGGAAATCACACAATTTTGACAAAAATTCGAGCACTCAATTTTTTTTTTCAATTTCATTGGATTCAAAGGTTGAACTCTTGGTCATGATATTATTGTTTTTAATCTGGAAAACTTATGGCGGTTTTAAAAATAAAAACATTCAAATTTGGCGAATGTGGGGCCACGCCACGGCGCCAAATATGAGTTTTACAACGAAATATGAATGGATCTTTCATTTGGGGTACAAGTAGGGTCTAAAAATCGTAGGTGTCCTGGACACGAGCGACACCTCGTGAATGTCCCTTGTTAGAATAACGAACATATTGCTTCCTCTGCAAAATATGAATCTTATGACGATAGGATTGCTTAATCTTATCGTCACGAGTATTACGTGAAAGTTTAGCTTCGTTTATCCAGAAAGTCTTGAAACAGCGTCATCCATGGACGTCGTTAAGAATAACAGTGACCATTTTGAAATTTCCCACCGTTCATTTCGCATTCCCTCTTCTTCTCCTGGGGTATCTAAAAATATCTCATTTTAAACTAGGGTTGCCACGAGTCGGTGCACTCTTTCTGCGGATCATTTGCCTCATAAATCTCTCACTAGAAAACACCCCTATTTCAAACTATTTAGAGTAACGGATTTTAAAATCCGATGAAGTTGTTACACAGAAAAAAAAATTGACTTGACAATTTGTTACTTACAATGCAGGTCTTTCATGTATACAGGTCAGATTTCGATGGGACCAATTTCATTTTGTTCGCGACAAAAATAAGCCTGTCTTTGATGTTTCATTGTTCATAATACGCGAATTTTAGCTTGAGTTACGAATTTTAAACTCGTTTCCAGCCAAAACCTTAGGTTTAAAAATACTTTCGAAACTTTTGAATTTTAGTTCAAAACTTTAGGGTTGTTGTGAAGAAATATGTTTTCGAAATTTCCAGGGATTTGAAAACCTGAGGTTCCGGCCGACTGAAAACTGTTTAAAATTCGTGCTCAAATTATCGCATCATGAAAAATTAAAAAGCATGGAAACGCCTAGTTTTGGTGCTGAACAAATTGATCTCATGGAACTGGGTTTTACATGTAGAAAACCTGCGTTCAGGGTTTAGTTTTTCCTGTCCAAACCAATTTTTTCCCTCGGCAGGTGGGAAAACGTGGGTAAATCCGGGAAAGTAGGTTTTACCGTTTAAAAAGGGAAAATATGGCTGTCCATATATTCAGTTATGGAGAAAGTCAACTTCTTTAAAAATCAATATTTTCGTAATTCGACTTCGTATTCGTCTTTTCTTTGAAATTCTGGAAATTTTTGTATACAATACGCCGTATTGTATACCAAAATTCAGAAAGCGTAAAATTTGTCACGTTCTGTTTCCGGTTTCTCTTCTAAGAGAAAACAACCGTAGATACTCTATTCTAATTCTAACGAACCCGCTAGAATTACAAACCGGATATAATTGGAGACCAGGCTAAATTTTTTCGGCTGTTCATAAATTGTACCATTTAAAAACAGGCATTAAAATAATGCCATAATTAGAAACAAGTTTAGACAATTTTGAAAAATTGGGCTCAAGACCCGGTTATAAATAGAGTATTTGGGGTATCTTTAAAAACTATTCATATTAATTATATTTCTGAATGATTGAAACCATTTTGGTCGAAATCTGTAAACATTCGTTTGGAGACCTCCACTGTGAGCTGGCTTCAGCACAATTAAATTATTTCACAATTAAGTCAGAAAGTCTGACTCAGAATTAATCCTCGGTTATCTAGACCAGATCGAAACGGAATCAAAACACCGCTGTATGAAAAGGATGTTATTTAAAAAACAAATAAAGCAATTGAAAGACGAGGTACAGACAAAATTGTGTGTAGATAAAATCGTATCGGCCCGAAGGACCTTTTTTTTAGGGTCCATTCATATTTTTCCGGGATAGCCCTCTCCCCGTTTGCCGGGACCGAAGCAGAAATCGGACCCACGCAATACGGGCACTATTGTAAAGTTTTCAACAGTTTGAATTTTTTCCCATTTTTCCATATGAATACATGTTAATTTTAAAGACTCCTCGATTTCAACCTTAATACCAACTTATGTATTTTCTCAGAATTTGATGGAGAATACGAATATCAAGTCACAATCAGATTTCTAAAATACTAAGTTGTTTCGAATTTCCCCAAGAGCACAGTTTTCCCCATTTCTTTCATTTTCCCCCTTTCGCACCTATTTTATTGGGTGGTAAAAACCGCCACTTGTTCCTACTGCCCTGGTCAATTTTTTTTTATCAATCGAAACCCTACCTGGGTTGTTATCGTGCTTAGTTAGCTGACTGTAAAAGTATGTAAATTACTATTTAAGATTACCCCGTAAAGGTAAGTCCAAATCAAAAGAGAACGTGGGATATCAGCCGGGTGGTACTGCCAAGGATTGACTTGTGGCTGGTAGTAATAGTTTTGGGTAGAATAGTTTGGCGGGGAACTAAGGAAAACGAATAACCAAAAAAAATCTACTATAAATAATGCAAAATTTTATTTACATGTTTAACAAACACGTATCAAAATGCATAAAAATGTAGCTCAGATATGTACTCTTACCATCCACCATATATCATGAAAGGATAAGTTTGTCGACCCTTCCTCTGTCTCGCACTGAGTTTGGACGTGTCACCGGTACCGTTCGGTTTGAAAACCTGTGTCAACCAGGTTATGCGAAATTAAGGGAAACTATTTCCTGTCAATTCTTAAAATTTTACACATTTAAATTTGTTACTATTTGATTGGTCTGTTGAGTCGTTTCGGAAGGTTGGAATATCGAGTCTTAGACAGATGTCGGAGCATTTTCTGTAATTAGATAACAAACGAAAATTTATTTCCAAAGGAAAAAAAAGGTTATCTACACTCTAAAAAAACTGGTATTAAATCATTACCCGACCGGAGTAAATATATATGTTACTCTATCAAATTTTTAAGTGTATAAATGAGTATAACGAATCTATTTAAAAATAAATACCATCATTTCTCATTTTACCTACCCGCATAACGGTGATCAGGCTTGATAAGCATGTTATCAATTTCCACTTGGCTTTTATCAATCGGAACGCCCCACGTGGTGGAGGCCAACGTCGCAAGAAAATAGAGAATCTGTGGGATAAGAGTAGGTAAATTTTTTTTATGTAGAAAATTGAATCAGGTATAGACTAGAAATAGATATAAATAAATTGATAATAAGGTACTGAATATTTGCACTAAATCATACGAATATGTATATGCAGTTTTATAACTTGCCTTTTTGCGAGACATTTTTTCTAGCAACTTCACTCACCGGGGTGAAAGACGGAATGAGCTCGTCAGGTTAGGTTTGGTTTGGTTAAATCGACCTGAGACATATGCCCAGACATGAACATGGTTAGCTTAGAAACTGGGTTGGTCAAGAAAGCTAATCAGGTCAATAAATAAATCGGTTGATCCAATAAATTGCAAACTTCGAATTAAAAATCTCAACTTTACATAATTCTAAGGGTACTTTGAACATTGTTTGGTAAAACCTTGTCGTACACAAACTAGATCCCGTTAAATACCTACAGAATTCTGTTCTAGTTTAAAACAATGCCCACAAAAGTGACTGGGTTATGTATGCATGTCTGAAGCCACTCATGTTTACATTTATCTTTTCAATAAGAAATGAACAAGGTACTTTCTACTGCCTGTGGAATACCTTGTAGACCAAAAGATGTTTAACGTGTAAACTGTTTTACTGCAGGGAGGTCTCCCAACGCACATATTTGAGCAATCAATTTGGTTAATCAATCACAAATTTAAGTAGTATGAAATTGGCAAATGCAACTATCTGCATATACATATACATATGTATATCTATATGCATATGCATATAGATATACATATTTGCATCCAAAGCTGCGAAAATGGGCCCCAAATGCCACCAATTCTGCACTTTTCGAATTTTGCATTACAAATTTGCCCGTTTTCGCCTCTTTGGATGCAAATTTCTCCGCCAAATCTGCTGGGAGATAGTTGCAGTTGCCAATTTCATACTAATTAAATTTGTGATCGATTGACACCAGTTTCGTCCAAATCTGTGAGCATACGTTGGGAGACCTCCATTGTAAGTCAAAACCTGAATGACTCTGTAAATGAATCCTCCTGATCTAATTAAGATTAAGGAGATCAGAATAAAAGTTGCAGTGCAACAATGTATCCACAAGTCTTTGTCCGTATAAATTGTACCTTTGAAATCGTAAATATCTGTAAACAAGTAGCGAGTCACATGTCCCTCTAACTTTGTAATACAAAATTTGTATGAAGTATGTACCTTGTGGGGGAGACCAGACTACTCATTAACAGAGATAGCCAGGCCAGCGGCTCTCTCTGTATGAGGTATGCAATTTTATTACTCTTTTTTAGAGAACCAGTTTTACAATTTGTAAATTACAAACCAATTAGAGAAAAAAATTATCAAATCGGCACGAATATTGGTAGGTGCGATTCACACAAATGTGAAATGCAATGTATTTAAATATGTGTGTGGTTAGAAATCCCAGCAGTTATGCTAAAACATAAGGTGGGGTCAAGTTGCAACCGTTGAATTTTCCCCACTTCATCCCACTGCCTAAACAAATTGAGACAGTTTAAAGTACCAAAATAAGAAGTCTCTTATTTTAAATACTATCAAATAGTATTTCAAATTTGAAAAAAAGGTTTTGTGTACGAGAAGGTTAAAAACTCAACATGCAAGTGAGAAAATGTGTAAAATTCAGATTTGCGTGGGACCAATTTTATTTTGCTCACCAAAAAAATAAACATACCCGTATTTTTGTGTTTTTCATTAAGCGCTAATTAGAGCGCGAATTTTAAACTGTTTTTTAGCTAAAACCTCGAGTTTTACAAATTCTGGAACGTTTTGAATTTGAGCGGGAATTAAAAAAATCGAAAATATGTTTCTTCGAAATAATTTACTTGACTTATAGAAAATCCGCTTGCAATTTTTTTGTGGAAAATTTTAAAATTTTAAGGAATTTTTTTATTTTTACAGATCTCAAAAAAGGCGAAAGTTTCAAATTCAAATTTAGAGATATTTTGATTTTGAACAAGTTAACTAACTTAGTTAAACTAAGCCGTTTTGGAGAAACAAGTTTTCGAATTTTTTGATTCCGGGTAAAATCCAAAAAGTTACAGAATTTTAAAAACCCGAGGTTTTGGTGCATTATGAAAAATGCAAAAATGCGGGTATGCTTATGTTTTGTGGTGAAGAAAATAAAATTGCCCTGTGAAAATCTGAATTTTACACCTATAAGACTTGCATTATCAGTGGTAAATTTTTTCAAAAATTAAACATATTGGAATTTGTTTTGTATTTCGATATCCGCCTTAACTATGTATCTCCTCGACACATCAGGAAATTGTTTTTGAAAAACTAATTGTAGTATTTTGGGACGCATCACTGTCTCCATTTTTTTTGGCTAATTGGGAGATGGTTTCACAAGTAAGAATTATGTATTTCTGCCATTATTTTCACTAATTAATTAAAATATAAATAGATTATACACATCATACGGATATCGTTAATCGTTAATCGTACGGAAATCGTTATTGCGTGACGAAAAGTAAATTTTACACGGAAATTCCTTCGGTTTGTTGGGTGAGTCATGTATCGTGTGCATTTTGGTATAAGTGTTGACCCTTAAATCGTTGGACATGTCGGCATGTTTCCTGGTAAGATTAAAGAAAATTTTTTGTATTTCTTTAAGATTAGAATAAAATGAACTAGTTACCGCACGGTAACTATCAAGAAAAAAGGACAATAGAGTCACATAAATACTCCGACCGGTAATAAAATTCTCAAAAATCTACATTCGCATTTTCTGGGCATTTTCTGAATTTTTTTCGCATACCATTTATGTAAAATGGTATACAAATTGTCTATCTACATGGACGCATTATTCTGAAATTTTGATGGAAAGCTACATATATCGCAACATTATTACAGCGCAAACTATTTCTAAAGTTACCGCGGTGTATTGATGACTTATACAAAAAAATGATGACTTTATTCCCACGAAAAAGAAATATGCAACTCCAAATGAAAATCTTTCCTCGCGTTGGGGGGAATTTTGAACACGTCCTTGGCAACGAAATAAAAAAATATATGTCGGTACACACTTAGCAAAATTATAACGAATCATTACTGCGCGGAGTGCATATTTGACTCTACCATGCATGGTAATGATTAGGTTACTGCACAGAGTTGAATTGTTATAGCGTAGAATAGACTCTTAATAGCGGCAGTAATGAATCAATATAAAAGTATGTTGATTCAATACTGCCGCTAAAAAGAGTCTATTCTAAGCTATGGCAATTCAACTCTGTGCAGTAACCTAATCATTACCATGCACGGCAGAGTCATAAATATATGCACTCCGCGCAGTAATGATTCGTTATAATTTTGCTAAGAGTGTATAATTTGTGGAAATTGTGGAAGCTTGTCATAACATCACTGGTCACAAATTATACTTGTCATACATCAACACAAGCAAGACCTAAATTTCTTACTTTACATGTCTAATTAAAAATAAAATTGCATAGAATTGCAATTTAGAATTACATATGTATGCTAGAAAATTGTATCTAAAATTGACTGGTATTCGGTAGTTACCAGAAAATATAGATTAATAGTTACATAAAAATGTAATTACTATAGGTTAGTCTGAACGAGTGAGATTCGGAATTATATAAAATAAAATTACTGTATAAGTTATACCAAATTTCTCACGAAAGTGGAGGAGGCAGAAAGTCTCCTGTATTTTTCACTGAAATTAGATACGTAAGATACTAGTCATACCTGTTTAAATTCATTTATTTAATGGGGAAGATCCATTTATTCGTTCGGAATGAGTAAATTAAATATTTAGTTCATGAAAAGTGAGGGAATAATTTTTGTACATAATTTAACCTAAGATAGTTTGCTGTGAAGAATGCTGTGAAGCAGGTTGTGCATTTATTTATTTGTACATGTCGCGTATTCCTGGTCCAGACCGGTTTTATCGGTAGGAAGGTAGATGATATCAGACGCCAGTATATTTCCATGAGATGAAAGGCATGTAAGAATTTTGGTTCAGAAGGAGAGCAAACTTTGTGCAGCAGACTGGAGTAAATATTTCTTACTGGGAAACCAAAGTAATTTTGTGAAAATGTTGCTACGTGTGGGGTCTCTAGTGTTCTTCATACTCTAAGAAATTCCTGCCGAGGGAATAAACGAAGACTTGATAATAACTTGGGAACAGAAAGTAAAGTTGGACGAGGTAAGAAAAGTTAGATAAAAATTCGGCTTTACACATAAATTGTGTAAAGTTGTTTTCTAAAAATTCGAAGACGCTTAAAAATGCTGACAAGAAATGTGCAACTTGTGGTAGGAATTAGATAAATATGTATTTTATTCGCGGTGATAAATATATATTTTTCTAATCCACGTTTCCAATGGAAAACTCGATTATAAAATTGCACTAAAATTTGTCAAAGCAATTTGCTCTCAATAATTTTTTGATATTATTGTTACCGACGGTGGTACTGTGCAATTTTACGTCGTGGTAACACCCAAATTGTCTTTTGAGGGTAATATATTGTTTCCGGGGTAGGTAATATTTTTTTTACTTATTACCCGAGCGGAGATATTGAGAGCTGAGCAGAATTTAGCCTGTGTGCATGTGTTACCCTTCGGTGATAAATTACCTCCGAAGCGGTAGAATTGTATACTACCACCGCCAATAACAACATTATTAAAAACCTACAGTGCAGACTTGATATAGCCCGAGTCAGGCTAAGTTGTGGTTATCACTCAACACGACTTTTCTGCATGAAATTGTAGGGCATACCAATAAATTATAAAAAATATTGATTTTTCCAGTCTAAATTCATATTCTTCCACTAGTAGCCTATATACCAAATTTTAGCTCGATATGATAATTTTGAAAAGTCGGTGCGGGTCGTCCGATACGGTCCATCCAGGCTAAAATTTTTCAGATATTAATTAACATTTTTCGATTTGGGATCATTAGCAACCTCTGTACCAAATTTCAGCTCGGTTGGACGATTTTGAAAAATCGGTATGGGTCACCCCATTGGGTGCCTCCGGTCAAGAAATTTTACAATTTTACTTCATATTCTTCAGTTAGGAACCATTAGCAACCTTTGTGCCAAGTTTTAGATTTCTATGGCAATTTTGAAATTTGGTGGTCATTGCCCCAGTGCTGGACGAAGAATTGTCCAAGGCCATCTCCTCATTTCCGCCGTGGTCGGCGGGGGGTCTAGACGGGATGAGACCCCAGATTTTGAAGGACCTTTTGGGGTATGTGCAAGGGGAGGAGGGCGACCAACTCGCCGAAGCCATGCGGGCTTTCCTCAACAAGATTCTCGCCGGTGGAGTCCCGTCCAGTTTTTGTCCCTTCTTCTTCGGAGAGTCCCTCACCGCTTTAAAGAAGAAGTCGGGAGGGATTCGACCCATCGCCGTGGGAAACACTTGGCGGCGATTAGCCGCGAAGATCGTCGTGGGAAGAATTACCCCCCGACTAATTCAACATTTTTCTCCCCACCAACTCGGAGTGGGCATCAAAGGAGGTGCGGAGATCGGCGCCCACGCAGCCCGCGTCTACTACAACCACCCCCACACCTCTCCAAAAGCGTTCCTGAAAATTGACTTCAGGAACGCTTTCAACGAAATTAGGAGGGACACGCTCCTCGACGTCGTCCGCGACATGTTCCCTGCAATTTTCCCGTTCGTGGTGCAGTGTTACGCCAGCCCTTCGTCACTTTTCTACGGAATGATCCCCATCCCTTCCCTACTCGGCTGCCAACAAGGGGACCCTTTGGGCCCCGCCCTCTTCTCCCTCGTGGTCCACCCCATCGTCGAAGCGGTGGAAACGGAGCTCAACTTGTGGTACCTCGACGATGGGGCCATGGGGGATTCACCGGAGAAAGTTTTGGCCGCCCTAGCAACCGTTGCTAGGATGAGCGGCGAAGTTGGCCTCCACCTCAACACGGAGAAATGTGAAGTGGGGATCCTGGGGGCGGAGCGCGAAGAAGCCATCGACATTCTCCTCCAATTCCAGCAAGTTGCCCCCGGGATCCAGCTAATGTCCCCCGATTCTGCGATGTTGCTAGGCTCCCCTCTCACAAATGAAGCGCTGGAGGTTGTCCTGGCAACCAAGACCCAACAACTGGCAACTTTCTCCCAACGACTTCTCGGCCCACTCGGCCCTCGGCCTTTTTCTTACTCCGCGCGTCAATTTCCATCCCTCGGCTCATCTACTTTCTCCGCTGCGCCCCGTCGTGGAGGAAGATGGATGCCCTCACTCACTACGACGCTACCCTTAAGGACGCGCTCGAGGGGATCCTCAACTGTACTCTCTCGGAGGCTGCATGGATGCAGTCCTCCCTACCCGTGAAGGAAGGCGGCCTCGGGGTCAGGCACGCTGTGGATGTGGCGATACCGTGTTTTCTCGCGTCCGCCCACAGCGTCCTGCCCCACGTCGAACGTCTCCTTCCGGAGTATCTCCATGGCAGCGACATCGCCATGGCAGAGGGAGTACAGCGCTGGACGGATCTCGGCCTCACGGACCTCCCACCTGAAACCGTCAGAGGAGTCCAAGCAGCGTGGGAGCGCCCTATTCTGGACAAGACTTTGTCCCATCTCTCCGATTTGGCAGTTATCCCGGAGGACATTGCCCGACTCCGTTCTCTGCGCAACAAATACGCGGGGGTGTGGCTCAACACCCTTCCGTCTCCACAACTAGGCACGCTCCTTTCCAACGAGACCTTCCGTGTCTCCGTTGCTCTCCGCCTCGGCTGCGACATTTGCCAGCCGCACAAATGCTCGTGCGGAGCCCAGGTCTCCTCCCGCGGCCTACACGGTCTCTCTTGCCGCCGGAGCGCCGGTCGTTGGTCCCGCCACGAGGCCGCCAACGACGTCATCGCGAGGGCCCTCCGATCGGCGGAGGTACCCTGCATCAGGGAGCCAGCGGGGTGCTCCACCACGGACGGCAAGCGTCCTGATGGGATGACGCTTGTGCCGTGGGCGAGGGGGAGGACCCTCGTGTGGGACTTTACGTGCGCGGACACCTTCGCCCCCAGCCATTTACCCGACACGGTGCGCCATCAGGGCGCTGCAGCCAGCAAGGCGGAGGACGCCAAGAAGAAGAAATACGCGTTCTTGATGGACCGGTACATTTTTGTCCCGGTTGCCATGGAAACGACTGGAGTTTGGGGGCAGGAGGGGCTCGCCCTCATCGAACAAATCGGGCAAAGGATTGCCTCCACGACCGGACAGCTCAATGCTGTCAATTTTCTCCGCCAACGAGTTTCCCTCGCCGCGCAACGAGGAAACGTCGCGTCGATTTTGGGTACACTTCCTCCAGGGAAAGAGTTGGAAGAGGTTTATTATTTGTAACCCCGTAGCGATTTTTTCTGGATTCTTGACTTCGATTTTGTCACGATTGTTCTGCGATCTTCGTCTTTAGCAATTTTAATTCAAAATTTTTTTTACATAAGTAGGGCCTTTTTTTGTGCGACTCCCGTGTAGTCAGATTTTTCGTGATTTACTAACTCTGTGATATACTTTTCTGTGTAATTCAATTAATTTCAATCGAACAATAAATTTGGTGCCAGTCCATATGACCCCCACCGGTCAACCACTTGAGCGATTTCGCCCATCTTCGAACTTAACTCCTCATTTGCCCCATACTACATGTGTACCAAATTTCAAGTCGATAGGATAAGTTTAAAGAGAGTTATCGCAAGACAGACAGACAGACGGACGTGACGGGTACATAAGCCCTGACATAAGCCCGGGCTAAAAATTATTGAGATTGTACACCTAGACAGATCTCTACGAAAGCTTGCTGATAAGTAAATAAACCGTTGTAGCGGTGGAAGTAGCTCACCCTGTAATAACCATTTTGGTATAATTTTATACCAATGATACAGAATATGCGGAGAAAATGAATACGCAATTTTGGCAAAATTTTACATTAATGGTGCAGAATATGCGGAACAAAGATATATGTAATTGGGATATAATTTTGCACCAATGGTGCAAAATCCACGAGGGAAGAGAAACCATGATTTTGACATAAAACCTTAAAAAATTTGACGTCAAAATCATAGGTGTTTCTTACGGTTCTTCTGCACTTTTGGTGCGTTTAGCATCTATTTTCTCAATTGTTTCGCACCATTTTGAGTCACCGATTATTCGATATCAGTGGTGCTAATAAGTCGGTCAGGAATGCCAATAACTGGCTCTAATTAGCATGAATTGATGCAAAAGAGTCGTTAACAGACAGACAGACAGACAGACGGACGGACGGACGGACGGACAAGAGGAATTCAATAGCTCCTCTGCTACGCAGGGTGAGCTAATAATGGCAAAAAGCCAGAAATACAATTAATTATTGCTTCTTAGATAATTGCGGATTGACTATTTCAGTTTAGAACAATTATGGAACCAAACCTGCCCCACGAGTATATGAAGACAGACATTTACCTGATTCACTGGCTGAAAGGTACCAATCCGATTTACGTATTTAGATTTAAGTTTTAATCTTTTCAAAAATTTTTAATGCGTGTCATTCTATTTTTGAATCAGTCCGAAACTTTGAGATTCCCGCTGCGGTCCGCATGTTGCGTGAGGTAGTTGTTGATCCCAGGCTATCAATTAAATAAGCAATAATGTCAAACATAATTCCATGAAAACGTATAGAATCTCCGTTGGCGGGAAGAGAACGAAATGGACACCTTACTGGATGAAGACTGGACCGAATTTAATAATCAGTATCGTTTCAATCTTGACGGTTGCGCTGATAACGGGGAGCCAGGTACGTACGTTTCGCGTCGAAATCATCCTAATAGTGATATTGCGCCTTTACGAAATTACACTAAAGCGTACCGTATTTTGTAATTATCCTAACGCCCCAACTTGAGCGCGAATTTTAAAATGTTTTTCAGCCAGAACTTTGAGTTTTAAAGTCCTGTAGATTTCCGAAGTGTAGCAGGAATTCGAAAATTGAAAATCATTTAATATTATCAAATATCTGGACAGGTTTTTAAATTTTGTACCAACTTTTCAGTTGTGGTGCTTTTCGCGGGAAAATGGGACATGCGCAGGGCTGTCTTGGCCGGACAGTCGGACAAAATGCGGCGCAACATAGACAAGTGTTTCGAGGAAGCTAGCACCGTGTTGAGAAACGTTCAAGCGCGTGGGTCCAACGCGACGAGGACAAACCGACGAGGACAAAGTAAGTACCGAATTTGATTATACACGTCTACTAAAATTCAAAAATCGTAACCACTTCTTAACACATTAATAGTCTGTCTCGTTTTAAGGTGACAATTAAGAAACTCAAATGGAGCTGAGCTGAACGCAACGAAGTGTTATCTTCTCATCTCATTTATGAATTAATAAAATTGATACTGATTATATTTTCAGTTGTAGGGTTTTGTATACCACATAAAGCAAATTTCAAAAAAAATTATATGCGCGTACTGAATAAAATGGTTCTTTTTAATTTTATTCGTTCAGATCTCAATCCGATGGCAAATAATGATGTTGATTTTTTCGTTACAACTATCCCAAGAGTAGTCTGCCTTTAAAATCTTTCATTTGATAGTCATTTAATTTAATATCACTGTATCCTTCCTCCAGCTAATTACGCATACAATTTGTTGCCAATAAATTATTGCCACCAATATTGCTCACAGTCATGTGTCTCAATTCGTGGATGCGATTCTGGTCAAAGCGGGAAATTGAATTCGCAAATTTATGGGAATGCCTTCTTAGAATATTAACAAAATTTAAATTTTATGTTTAATTTTCGAGTTGGAGGAATGTAAAAATTAAGACCAGTAGAAATACATGCATAATTATGATAACTACTCGTTTCCGCCAAAACTACTCTTTATGATAGAAAATTGTCCATGGCATAGCGCGGATAGCCAGGCCAAAATGAATATAATCCACATCCTTTCATGTGCGAAAGTCGAAATAGGTATTCGTCACTAAGGATAAGCACATACTTAATTACTTATAAATACTGATGAATGTGCTACGCTGAATTAATGAAAATAATGTGGTCTTGCGAAACCCTTCTTAATACTGCTTATATAACGGTTTTTATTAGTGTCATACTTACACGTATATTTAACGACATGGTTTCTTCCTGAGGCAACAAATATAATTGCAAAACTTGGAACCCAATGAATGAACAAGGTAATCATTATGAACGTAATCTTGTATATCTAATTCTAATAAACCAAATTGTGCTTAACTATAATCCATACATATTTGCGTCGCATTAGCTTACGGATTTGTAATAGTAGGTTCGTAAGTAAGAATGCATACATAAGCACTACCATCACAATGTCATCGTTACGAGTATATTTAGTCGAAGCTCAGAGTAACCGTTCTGCTGACTTAAATTAAACATGTCGTGAATTTAAATTTACGTCTAACCTGCAAGTATGTGTTAGTATGGAGAACACTGCAAAATATAAATATGTAAAACTAGCTTAGAATACCGACTAAAGTCGAAAGTAGAGTTCTTGTATTTATTCCATTAGTGATGTGAACACTATACTGAGTTTACCACAATGACGCTATATCTTATTTTTTTCATCCAATTTTACTATTACTTCCACCCTTCTTCTGCTTTGGATTTCATAAATGGTTGGGATAACACCCTGCAGCTGGCCGGGGTTGAGGGGTGCACTTTCAAAATCAAGCTTGAAGAATGGTCCTACGCTTATCTGGATATTTACGATGGTCTTATCCACAGCAATTTTCATAACCATCGTGTCTTCTATCTTCAAAATTATTTAAGTAACGCCGTTGTCCAGCTATCGCCTCACCTAGACTTCCGATTTTTTGAAAAATGTGCGATACATCTCGTCGCTCTACATGACAATTCCAACGGTGCAGCGCGTCTAAGATACATCTGGCGCCATCGTGACACCCACAGGGGGGACTATTTCTCAGTATGGATTGCAATCACGACGGCACCGATACAAGTCTATTCTTTTCACGAATACGACTACAGAACATCATATCGATTATTCTTCGTTTTTCTCCGGGATAGCTGGACATCCTACCTTTTCTACTTTTGTACACTCTGCAAAAATCAGCTTATACCGGTGTACGATACTGCTCGTATACTACAAACGACACCTTTATTATATAGACACGATTGGGAGGATTTCTACTATATGACCGAATCGCATCTGACACCAGTGTACGGATGTCGGCATGGTTTTCATCTGCACTGCAGAAGCGTCGACTATATTTGCGATTCTTTAGGTGCTGATATAAACGTGACAATTTATCAAACCGACAACCCTACCACGGCAAGTACTCATTCGTATGGGTTTTTTGAACATAATACGATTGCGGTTTACTACGAGTACTCAGATTTACGAAAAATTTATGTATTCAAGACCGCCGGACAAAGTTTGGTTTATTGCAACTATGAAATTAAGGCGGAGCGAATATCGTTCTCAGCCTGGTTGGCACCATTTAACCCTTGGGTCTGGACTGCAACCTTGGCCACCGTGCTTCTTACAACGCTACTTTTGATCACGGTAAGTGCGTAAGGAAATATAGTATATTGTCCATGGGCAGCGCTAAAGATAATATAAGTTATGCACACTTTTATGACAAAAAGCTTTGAAACCTGGACTACTAGGAATTTCAATATACCTAGCAATATAACAACAGAATCTGAATAGAAGTAACTCATTAACTTAAAATTACAGTTAATAAATATATCATCATATTCACAGATTCAGCATCAAGAGACCTTACTGCACAACCATAAGCAACAAACACAGTCAGTTCCTTACTCGTTGATAATCAATACCATAGCTCTTGTCGGCATGTTGCTCCGTCAACCGGCAAAGGAATCAAATCTGTTTCCGCGCCTACTGATGCTCGCCATCTTACTACCATGCATCCTGATCACGTTTAACTACGAGTTTTATCTTATTCCCAACCTCATTGCTCCGGACACCTTCAGGCCGTTTACATCTTTGAAGGAGATGATTGTTGATAATCATTTCACGATTTGGTATATTGGAGTCCCTTCAGGAAAGCTTCCATATTTCGGCGAACTCGTGCATGACTTTTCCATAAAAGGAATTCTTCACCATGACAAAATGACGTTTGTTGAAGCGAATACGACCAACCAAGATATTCTGCTAACATACCTATCGTCCAGTAATCCTAAAATGGCGGCTATGCATGCCCCTCTTAGTCTAAAGGTGACCCTTGCTGGAATCAAAGCCTTCAATAATAAAGGGAAGTATAGTTGCTACGCGTATCCTAACGCGGTCGTATACAAGCATTACTTCGACTTTGCCGAAGTCAGTCTATGTAAGGAAATGATGAAGTTGGTTAGAGTATACACGGAAAGTGGGCTTCGCCAGGTTTGGGATGGTTGGAATATGTTTAGATATTACTACTATTTTTATAATCAGCAGCACGATTTCATGGCTGACGATGCACCACCGCTTTATATATCATTTAAAAATTTGATACCGCTATTAATTACTTATGGTGTGCTTATTTCGGGGGCGGCTTTACAGCTAATGTATGAGGTACATATACTAGCAAGGCGTGAAGAAACCATTACCAATGTGGATGAAATCTTGTACATGCAGTGACTTCATGACTATAGCACTTCAGTTTCTCATGATGCTAGTCTTCCTTCATCTTTTAGGGGATTATTAACTTTCTAAGAGAACTAGTTAAGGCATTAGGGAGATCATGAATGAACATCTACTGGATGATTGACTGTTTATTATTTAAAACAAAATTGAAATATTTATTTTCATCTGTGCAATTGCATGATTTGTTCAATTTAAAAATAAAGATCTCCCTACAAAGTTTCTGAATGAAATTTATTTATGATTCCATTTCCCGATATCAGATATTCTCATTGTAAGCAGGAAATCCGCCCAACTTGGTAAAAATTATATTTTAGCAAAAGCTTGGCAATTCTAATTAAATAGCTACACTTTATGGGGTGGTCGGATTTCTCATATATAGAGACAGCTAAGCCAGTGGTGGTAAGGCATCGCAGCCTACATTGCCGACCGAAGGCTAATTGCTGACAATAGGTCTACTAATACGTATACTTATGTTTCTACTGATATAGATAAAAAAATGTTTAAATACCTCATAACTTATAATGTATTTGCTTGTATATTAGAAAGATAATATTGGTTTCTTGTATAACTACTTTGGGAATTTAATGCTCCGTTTAAAATATCGCAATTGCATATAATTGTACTCATTAATATAAATAAAGTTGTGTGAGCACATCGTATTACTTGTCAACCTATCCTTATAAACCAAATATCCTGAACAGGCCAGACCATTAATTTTATTGCAATCCAGATTTCTGTGTCTTCAGAAATTTTGGCCGAGAATGTTTTCCACGTTTATATGCCTGAATTTTGTGTTCCTTTTAACCTGTGCCACTTTGTCTACTCAGTTCCGCGCCGCGAAAGATATTTCAGAAATTTCGCAAAATCTGGATACACCTTGTAACCTCGTCATTGTTTTCGACACATTAACGGAAAATCTTGATATGTCTCAAATCCGGCCGGAGCTAACCGTTACGATTGTAAAATCATGGTCCTGGACCAGAACAGGGTATCGTCGCCGAGAATCCAAAACCATTACCAACTCGATGCGAAAAATCAAACCAGGGGGACACATTTGCACATTTTCAGCCTTGTATTTCGACCACGCGATGGGGAACGGGTTATCAAGTGACGTGTAACGGAAGCCTTCAACTTGATAAGGTGCATCTGTTCTGGGCCGCGACTTGGGTACTTATGGTGGACGACGGAGATGAGGTAAGTTGGTAACCCGATTTGAAGCAAATTTCGTGTATATTTGGCATATCCTGGGTAGTCTTACACAGCTAGAAATTCGCTAGGTCGCTGTGATTTCGCTGCGAATTTTCGACTACCGAGGTTCGCAGAGATTCGTTGTTATTTGTCGAGAATTCGGTACGATTCGCGGGACATTTCGCTATTGAATTCGTAGTGAATTGACAGCGACCTAGCGAATTGCTACCTCGGATACCTACACGCTCTGTGTCAAATGACGTATTTTGGATGAGAAATTGAATAAATCTCATCATTGGATTCGAAAAAACTATGGACCTCTATCGAAGCGCAGTTCACATATGTGTACCTTGTTACCCCAATGCGAAAATCTGACCTCGAATATTATTCACTAATGGAAGTACTAAAAACCTATCGGAGATTGATGGTGCGCATAGTTGGAGATACATTTGAAGAAAGTGACCATCCTCATTTCTACATAACTAGCCCAACATCTCCACAATTGATAAGATTGGAGGACAAATGTTCGAACGGTAAAACCTGCTCAATTATGGAACGGATATTTGGAATGATTGAGCATGACAGGTCCGAATTAAATTGACTTTTTCGTATCTGAAATTCAGGAAATTAACAAAAATTCGCCCTAACACCCTAAGCTAGACTTTATTAACTTTTTGATGGC